TTTTTACCTCACACTTCACTTATGATCCATCAGCAAGCCCTACTTCCAGCCACATTCCAGTTCCCTATCAGCTCTGCTTGGGCTACTTGTACAGGCCATAGGTGTCTTACTTGGTTAATACCAATGGCTTCCTTTACTCTCAACACAGTCATCATAGGGAGTCTTTGAAAATATGAAGTCAGACCACAGTGATTTTCTGCTCAGACTCCTCCAGTGGCTCCACATCACACCAGAGTCCTCACCGTGGCCTGCATCCAGTATTCCTCTGACTCGTCCCTCCCTTCTCCCCCACCTCCTTCTGCTTTATCCACAGGCCTCTTGTTCCCTGAATCCAGGCACTCATCCACCCACCAATGGCCTTCATACTTGCTATTTTCTCTTCTGAGATACTCCTCGCCTGTTTTTCCTCATGGTTTATTCAAGCGTTTACTCAAATGTTTCTTCTCAGAGGCAGCTTTCCCGCTTCCTTATCAAAAATTGAGTATCTATGACATTTTTAGTACCTTTCCCAGATTTCTTCCCCCTTAGCAGTTATAACACATTGGGGAAACCAGGATGCTCCTTGGAAGCAGGGATTTTTTAAGCTCTGTCTCACATACTTTGGATATGCTGTCAGGAGGGGCCACTCCTTGGAGGACATCATGCTTGGAAGGGTAGAAGGTCAGTGCAGGAGAGGAAGACCCCCAAAGAGATGTACTGACACACTGATGGTGGCAATGGGGTCAGGTGCATTGGTGAGGTGTGTGGGTGCGCATGGCCGCAGACAGTGCAAGGTTTAGAGCCACTGTTCATAGGGTCATTGTGATTTGTAGTTGACTCGATGGCACATAACAACAATGCACTGTATGTTGTACTTATTTATCTTATTTCCCTACCCTGCTCTCCACACTACTGTTGTTTGTTGTTATGTGCTGTCAAGTAGCCTGCGATTCATAGTGGCTCTAGTATAATAGCTTGAAGCCTGCCCTATCCTATGCCAATCTCACGGACTTTGCCACACCTATCCCATTACCTCAGTGACTGTGTCAATCCATCTCATCCAGGGTCTTCCTCTCCTACACTGTCCCTCTACCTTTCTGTAAGTTCAGTGATGTCTAAGATTTGGATCAAGAGTCTAGTCAGTATTCAATAATCATTTATTGAACCAATGGATTAAAATGGAGCAGACTGTATTTTTAACTGAAATATCTATTTTGCATGACTCAAGATGGCTAAGAAAATTAACAACAGAAATGTTGCACGCCTTGCCTGTCCAGCAGGAATAAGGACACAACACACCAGCGATTCCTTCTCACGGCGGTTTACTCAGGAGTTAGTTACAGTTAGGGAGAAAACATGGAGTTCCTTTTTGGACCCTTCCCGGGTGTGGCTTTTATCCCCTTCTCGGTACTCCGCCCATCAGTTTCATGTGTCATGCCTCCATTGGACCATTAACCCCACGTGAGATCAAGCCGTTGACCAATAAAGACACGGTGACCAAATAAGGTCTTATTTGTGATTAAGGCAAACAAAGAGAAGCAGGAAATCAGCGCCATCTTGTAATGGCGACTGCACATGGCCTTCCACACAGAAAAATGAATTCTTACTGTTCATATGTTTTAACTCCTAACAACCATATAGGACAAAGCAGAACTGTCCCACGGTTTCCTCCCACAGAGTGGCTGATGGGTTCCAACCACTGATTGACCTTTCAGTTACAGCTGTTCACATAAACACTGCATCACTGAGATCAGACAGAGTGGCAAAAGCCACTGAAACTTCATTTCCTATAACGACTGTCTAAGTGACTGGAGCTAACTTTTCAGAAACACTTTAAAAGCTACTTTAAATAATAGCAATGCATCCTTAATTATATAGAAAAAAAGCAGAACCAGAAATTCAAGACTAAAA